TTTAAAGTGATCTGAAAGTGAGCAGTGTTACAGGCAAACCTGGTAAAGGTTGGCAACCTCGACACATGTATAAAGGTACCAATTGCCTTGGATTTTTCTCCCCAATACTCAGCTACTCAGGGGCAGGGAGATGGCAGGATTCATCCAGGTGGCTGCTGTGAAGACAGAGCAGTAGGGACATTCACAGGCTCGGCAAGTGTGGAACGAGAGCCGGGTACGGTGGGAAGTGCGTAGGGAGAAGGGAAGAGTCTATGGCACTAACTGAGGACCCAGGAGGTTGAAGGATAGTCACAGTGAGAACATGCTGAGAGGGATGCTTCGGTTACTGATTTCAGAAATGGCTGTTTCAGCAACAATGCAGTCCAGGGGCGACCCTGGGAGCAGGAAGATGGTGAGATGAAGTGATGGGGCCATCGTCGCACACAGGGAGGTCAGGGACCAAAAGGCCAAAGTGCTGAGCATCCCTGTGGACAGGAGTCGGGATGATGACCCGGGTGGCAGGGCGAGGCCTGTGATGGGCTTGGGCGAGGTAGGGAGGCACACACCCTGTAAGCCCTGCTTCTTCGCTTCTGCCCTCAATACTGACAGAACGGAGTGGGGAAGCTTCCACCTGCGGGCATGGCACCTGGCGTAGTCACTGTCCTTTCGCATCACTGAGAGGGCAGGGCTGGGCCGCTTCCAGGGGCCTGGCACACTCAGTATCTGCTGGGAGAATTAATAATGAAGTTATTCAGAATTAAGTGAGCAAACAAAAGAGGAACTCTCACTGGTGGGTGAGAGTGAAGCAGAGAACTTGAGAACATATCAACCCCACGTACTGGAGGGGCTGTGTGAGCTGAAAGACGGAATTAAAATGAAAAGTCCCTACAATGAAAAGAGGGCTGTCTTTGTTTGCTAGGGCTGCCATAACACAATGCCACAGACAGGGTTGTTTTAAACAACAGGAATAGATCCTCTCACAGTTCTGGGGGTGAGAAGTCCAGGACCAAGGTGTCAGGGTTGGTTTTTTGAGGCCTCTTTCCTGGGCTTGCAAATGGCCACACTTTGCCGTGTCCTCGCAGGGTCCCTTCTCTGCGCATGCTCCGGTATCTGCGTCCACGTTTCCTCCTCTTGTAAGGACACCCGTCAGATTAGATTAGGGCCCAACCTAATGGCCTCATTTCAGCTGACTCACCTCTTTAAAGGCTCTATCTCCAAAGACAGTCACATTCTGAGGTGCCGGGCGTAGGGCTCCGCATATGCATTTTGGCAGCACACAGTTCAGCCCGAAACAAGGGCTGGGTGTGAGATCCACGTGCTGTGTGCACCTTCTTTGTTCTGCCCACTCCACTTTCTTGCACCTCTTGCTCAGCATCTCTCTCTCACAAGCCTGCCATCCACACTGCCCCGGCTCCCAAGGTGAGCTTCCCCAAGGAAGCGCCCCCTAGAGGAAGCTCTGTCCTGAGCTGCTGCCTCTGATGGCAGGAAATGGTCATCTCCCCTCTCACTTGGGCATCCACTTGGCCAATACAACCTAGTAAAATCAGACTGAACGAACTCCAGTGTTCTAGGGCTGTGCTAAGGAATGGGTTCCTAAGCATTTGTTAATGAACCCCTTGATGGGGGCCACGAGCAGTGTGGAGAACAAAAACCAGGGCTAGGTAACATTTTGGAGAGGTAGGGCCAGGGCAAAATTTTGCTGAGTTACCATGCAAAGTGAGTGACACCCAGATAAGTGGAGCACTGATGATCCCTGATATGATGCCCGAGAAACCATCTCCCCTCTCAACTCCTCAGTGCGACTCAAAGTCTGAAAAAGCTCAGATGTTCCAGTGATTAAGCTTCCATCGCACAGAAAGTCCCTGGTGGAATGAGAACCAAAACTTAAGTTTTTATGAGTTTGGATTTGCCCTAAATCTGCTTAAAAACGGTACCAGAAGGAACTGATGAGACACGACAACCAAGCACAACATGTGGTCCTGGATGGGGTCCTGTGCCAGAAAGGGAAGGAAGCGCTGTTGGGATGGCTGGTAGCATCCGAAGGGGGGCTCCGGACGGGGCGGCAGGGTTGTGCCAATGCTGGTTTCCTCATTGGAGGTCTGTGTGGCGGCGATGCAGGAGCGTGTGCTTGTGTTTGGGAGGCACGCGGTAGAGAGCATCATGTCAGAAAAAAGATGGAACAAATGTGCTAAAACGTTAACTGGGAAATTTGGGGAAAGGGGATGGAGGAGTTCTCTGTACTGTTCTTAAAACTTTCCTGTAGGTTTGACACTATTTTAACAATAAAAAAAGAAGAAAAAAAATACAAGTCTAAAAGCAATTTTTTATTTACAGTATAAAGGTTACAAAGGTATATATGTATTTATATATATAATACCCTTAAGTTACAAACTTTCATTGTAATATACAATGCTATATGTCGATGTGCAACTCAAGGGAAAGTGTTGTCTATGCATTTGTATTTGTAGAGTACACATACATAAAGCTTTTTTCTTCTTTTAATTAAGAACACAAATACTGCCCTGTTTTACGCACGGATTTCAATTTGGTAGTCTGGTGATGCCAGAAGGTTTGAAACTTAAATTTTAAACACTTACAAAGAAGTCTTGTTTAAATACAGGGTTTTAAAAAGAAGAAAACCCCAGGATATCACATACTTTTAATAATTTGTAGAAGTATTACTCTAGCTAAATCTTAATGCTTAACAACAATGCAAGTTGTGTGGGACCGAACACAAACGAGTGGGACAAACCAGAGTTTGCAGAGATGAGCCACAATAGAAGGCTTCCTAGGTAGTGTCTGCCGCATTATCTGCTAAGACCTCGGGTCTGATACCAAAAGGGAACAATTCTCTGGGAACCAAGGTCTTAACACGCTGCACCCACCTGATAGGTTTAAAGGTAACACGCAGCCCCGTACTGGAGGGAAACAAAAACTGGACTGGATCTCATGATAAGGGCAGATTTGCTGTAAGTTGTGAAGAGCATCATCAACATTGATTGTGCCAAACCCAGAACTTCACTTTAATAATTTCCTCTCCCCCAGATTCTATTCATTTAGAAAACAGAGGTGAAAAAATATAGCTGACCTCCCCCCCTCCCCCTCGCCGAACAGGACTGAGATAGAAGGGAAGCACTTCTTCCAACCGAGGAAGAACAGACACGTGACAAGATTTATGTGCTGGTTCCAATAATACATAATCGTTAGCACCTGATTGTCAAAGGGTAGGTTTAAAGGAAAGACCATGACCTAATATGTGTGCACACCTCCAGGACACTTGGAAACAAAGGGAAAGAGCCATGAGAGTATGTTGTTCCCTAGGCCACTCCAATCACATCGTTCAGGCACTTTCTGGGCATGATGAAGGATGCTACCTGAAAGGCTGACCTTAGTGATAAACGGAAGGCAAGCTGGATAGAAAAGGATGTTACTATATAAAAATATGGAAACATTCAAACAATCTTTCATTGTCTTTAGATGCTCTTTTCACTGAGTTTGCCAGAGTGTCTGGAATAAGTGGACTTTTGCTAAGTTTTAAATATCTTCATTTTGAGCTCTCATTATGAAGAAATACTCCATCTACCATGTTTAAGGACTTTCAGCAAATGAGATGTTTAAATGGTGTGAGTGTGGAAATGAACAGGCCAGCACAATTTAGAAATGGGGGGTAGATGAAAATACACATCTAGCTTTGCTGTTTACAGTTAAAAGAAGCATTTCTTTAAAAAGACTTTCCCATTGATCCACTTTGAGCAACAGAACTTAATTGTTGTTGTGATCTATCTCCCTAAAGATATTCTACAGTGTTCTCCTTCCAAAACTAAAATCTTAATTTTGCATTTAAAAAATTATGCATGATGAAAAGACCAGCCTATGTAAATGTGCTTGAAATTCTTTCATGCTAGCATGGACCAAAGACTGAGCCTCCTTTTAAACATTTTCCAGTTTGCCAAATGAGCAGAACCCCAGATGTACTTTGATAAAAATATGAAGTGGTTAATTATTTAACCTCTGATTGACAGATGGCATGGTGTGATCGAGAATGGATTATGTGCTATGTGAGGCAAGAACTTTCTTTTGGACCCTTCAGAGTGCATGTGAAGAACTATACACTAATAAGTGCTTATTAGATGAAAGTCTGCAAGGATTACTGTATCATTAATTAGCCCTGCAATTTCTAAAAATTCTCCAAGCCTCCAAAGTACCTTTTGTCTCCTCACAAGAGGCTTCTGTCACTTTGGAAGAGGTGACAGAACAGTCAGGTTCAGGGTGTGTATGTGACTGGGACAAAGAGGGACTCAAAAACTAAAAGATCATTGGTGTCAACAGTTTAGAGGTTAAGATTAAGAAAAACTGAGTAAGGGACTCAGAGGACGCAGACGTTAGAAATCTATCAGGATATCTTATCTCACAATACAGGGGTGGGCAAAAGTAGGTTTACAGTTTGTGAGTACAATGAGACAGTTTTCTTCTTCTTTTTTTAATCCCCACCCAAGAATATGTTTTTTTGTGTGTGTGGCTTTCTTTTTTTTTTTTTAAGAGGAACTGGGAGAGAAAGAGAAAGAGAGAGAAACATCAATGTGAGAGAAACATTGATCGGTTGGTTGCCTCCCATACATGCCCTGACCGGGAATCAAACCTGCAACCTTTTGGTGTATGGGATGACACTCCAACCAACTGAGCCACCTGGCCAGGGCTATTCTTGTATTATTATTTATTAATTATTGTATTACTTCTGTGAACAACTGTAAATCTACTTCTGTCCAACCCCTGAATAACAGAGTATCGACAATTTCTCTATTATAGGTTTTTAGTTTCAATCAATCTATTTTGGGCAATTCAAAGATTACAGTTCATATGATAGATTTTTGTTGAATAAAACCAAATGCTCATTGGAGAACAAGCAATCATTTGCAAATGGCATATTTATGCATTATATCAAATGCAGATTTGCTTTAAAAACCCAGAATATGCTTTGGTTCAGGAACCTGAAGTGGAAAGGAAGAATAAATGGCAAGAGATTAAGTTCAAGTTTATCAGTTTTGAAACAATAGAAGAAATCTTGTTAAAATATTTTTCTAGTTGATATATAACAATCATTCTTCCAGTTGGCAGTTTAGCTAGTATCAAAAGAGACAAGGAAACAGATATGCTCTATATGCCTACTTATTGTACTTTACCTTAACTTGAAATTTGATCCTTTCATAGGATGAACTTATATCAATTATCTGCCAGATAATTTTGTTTTTTTAGAGAAAGGTTTTCAAATCAGCCACTTAAGCAGTCTATTACTAGTATAAAATAAATTTCACCATGAGAATAGCTATATTGATCAAGAAAACATAATCCTGATATAAAGCATAATTATTTTAGAACTAACATGACACATTTATCAAGTGTCTATATACTCAGCACGAAGATGTAGCTTAAAAAGGGGAAGGGAGGGGGGAGTCTGCTGTGTAGGTTTTTAAAGACGGTATATAGAAAGTCAAAATAATTCTAGATTTCCAAGCAATTAAAATCGAGACACAGAGAAAGAATGGCAGCAGATGGCAGATTCCTTTGTCTTCATCTTCAGAGGCCATAATAACAATTCAAATTTAACTGAAAGAAACTTCCAAACTCAAGGTAGAGTATAATATCACCTGCCACATAACATACTTGACAAAAATATATAAGTAAAGTATGACTATAGTCAAATTCAACTTAAAAGTTTAAGCATCCCAAATTTAAAGAAGTCTCTCTTCTTACACAGATAGTCAGATCAGACCAGAACAATGTTTTGAGACCAAAGAGATCTGGCATTTTACTTCTTCATTAAGGATTGTAAAAGCATGAACTTTGGCTTTCCAACCAGCCATTTCACTCATGGTGTCGATAGTGGATGGCAACAACATGGAAATGTATGCTGGATATTTGGATGATTTAAATATTATGTACAATCAATAGCTTATAACCAGTGAAAACAATAACATAATAAAGCGTATCTAAGACAAGATACAAAAAAGCAGAGAAAGTGCTTAAGTCTACAGGTCTTCCCTGAAGCTTCAAAAATGTTTAACTTTTTTAGTAGGTAGGCCTTTTAATACAATTTGCATAGCAGCTTACAAGATAATTTGCATTAAAAAATATGGAGATTCTTCCATGTTTTTGAAAACACACACAAATTACCCACATGCATATAAATTAAAAACGAAGACCTGGAGGTTCTCAGAAAATTAAAAAAATCTATCATAACCTTTTCTCAAAAGTGGTCACACTTATCCATCAAAAGCATTTGCACTAATTTGTTTTTCTGGAAGAAACATAATCTTATCCAGATTCCACACAGCTTTTTTTTTTTTTTAAATAAATTTTGGTTTATTAGCTAAGTGCATTTAATCAGCTGAAAAAAAAACTTTGTTATCATTCTGCTTAGGAGGATAAGAGAACAAATAATCAGTAACAACTTTAATCATTTGTTGGTTGGAGAGATTTTTCCACTTATAAAAATGTAAGAAATAAATAATTCAATCTCTCCTGCCATGCAATTTCAATAACAAAGTTTGTGAGATTACAGATGATAAAAACAGGCACTGTCAGACTTACCTAGCATAAAAAGTGCTAAAACATAGCTTTAAAATAAGTGAATGACATTTAAAGTAATATTTTGATTGCCTGTACATGTCCCAATATTTAACCTGAAACTCTGTCTACTAGGTAGGTGAGTTTACAGTTACAAATATCTTATAAATACTGTATAAACATACATTAAAGTATTTCTTCATATAAAATATTAGATACTAATTTCCAGGTAAGGTTCATTTGATGACTTCAGAAAAGAACTTACCTTTTTCAGAAAAATAATAACTGAGCCTTTTCTTTGATAGGCATCTGTGTGGAATATGGAGAAGATGTCTAGGCCCAGGTCCTGGGGGGGCACTGAAAGTGGTCCATCAGAATGAGGGGGACAATACTCTGCAATTCCTTTACATTCTACACCTGGAAGCCCACAACATTCTCAATAATTTTCCTAATTCAGAATAAAAAAGAAATGAAAAATTAGCTGTTCTGTAAAAGATGTGAAATATGAAAAATGCCTATTTTTAGCTATCATTTGAAAATAATTTGCCATATTTTGGCATCTAAATACAAAGTACAAATTGATCCTTGAAGAACGTGGGGATTAGGGGTGCCAACTCCCCAGGCAGTCGAAAATCCACAAATTAACTTTGGCTCCCTAAAACCTTAACTACATTCGTTCCTTGGTTTTCACTAGGGATTGGTTGCAGGACCCAAATCCACGGATGCGCAAGTCCCTTATATAAAACAGTGTAGAGCAGTGGATAGAGTCAGCCCTCCTCATATTCCCAACTGTGGGTCGAAGATATGCACATATTTATCAAGGCTGTCTCATTCACAAAAAGTACTTCATTTGTGGTTTGAAAATCCCACAAACACACTTAATCGAAGAACAACCTGGTCATCCATGGTTGGAAAGCTGCTGAAGTTTGTTAAACAAGCAGCTTAAGGGCTCTTGCTCTTTGGGGGCGCAAGTGATCACAGGAAACCTCCCATCAATTCACTCCACATCAAGACTCAAAACCCTATTAAATAGTAAAAACCCTGTGGACCTTGGGGCTATCCATGGCAGTTTAAGCTTGAACAAAGGGGTTGAAGTGCACACCCGCCTTACCTCTCCTTCCCACGTTTAATTTACACCTTTTTTACAGATCTTTTCATATAACCATTGAGCAGGTGGCTCAGAAGTTCCCCCTGAAAATCTTTTCAGTGGCTTAGCCTTTCACACTAATAGAAAACCTCAACCAAATGGCTTTGCTGCAAAAGTCTGTGACTACATCGTTCATCTTCTCAGATAAATACTTTCACTGCAAAGGTCTAAGCTTCCCTATCTAAGGGTTATGTATTCAAATTCTTCTTCCAGAAATCACAGCTGGACCTTCAAGGTATTTTTTTTTTCTTCCCTAACTTGTCAACTTACTCCAGATGGAACCAAACTTGGGCTTGTGAATTTTCAAAACATAAAAAGCTCTTGAAAGACATATTCTAGTCTAGATTTCAATTTCCAGTTTTAAGAGGATCAGACAGTTCATTTTTGGGACCAGTGGTGAGGAAGAACAGATATCTCTCCCCAGCCTCTGCCTGTGGTTAATCTCACTGAACACGGGGAAGGAGTGAAGACAATGGGCTCACAATGTCTAACTAGAACTTCCTGCTCGAGTCGGTTCTTTCACATCCCACCTGTGTCAGTCTGCACTCACACCAAATAGCTGTGTGCTGCACACACCGCTGTGCTTTCTTTTCCTATTGGGAGTGCTGCCCTCCTCCACCCTCTGTAGTGCTCACATCCTCTAGGCACTCCTGATAAACACAGTAAATGAGAACTAACCCCAGACCTTTCTTCAGAGAACACGGAGAACAGCCAACTCACTATTACCTTCTCTTTCAGTTCCAGGGACTGTGCTGATGTTGACATCTTATACAGCTATTACACTATTTTAAATGGTTTCAGATATGCACCTCCTTCATGATTATAAATAACAACTGAGTGTATTCTCCAGTACCACAAAATCAGCAATCTTACTGTAATGTGTCCTAATGATGACATCTGGCAGTGCTTAGCAAAACCCAGGCCTCCGTCCATGGTCTCCTCACCCCGCTCACTGTAGGAGGGGTTACTAAGTGACACTGAGTCTGGAGCTAGCAGCTGCTTGTCCACACCACTCTGCTGCCGCATGGGGAGAGGGCTAGGGCCAGGGTCCTACATGGGGGAACAGAGCCTAAAGCAACTCGACAATTTGTGCTGCAAATCTGGCTTCACCCACAAATTCTCCTCTTGAAACAAGCTTGCTCTTCAGGATGTATCTTTCTCAATGATCTCTGCCCACGAGAAAAGACAGCACTAAGGAGAGCTGCCGCAGGCTGTTCTAACACCAGGACAGATGACCTCCCTGGGATGGCAGTGATATCCAGTTATTCAAATAATAAAGCTCCACGAACCCCAACCAAAGGCACATTTGGTAAGCAATAAAAAATGGCTTAGGCTAACATGAGGATTTTTTCATTAAAGCAAATATCAATTATTAGGTCATGGAAAAAATAAAATAAGGATTTTCTTTTAAAATAAATCTTACCACATCCCCTGGCTCCTACCAAAGGTAAAATCAGAAAACTCAAACAAGTATTTTCTTTCAATGCAGTGGTTCTGACTTGCTCTTCAACTTGGTCACCACCAGAAAGGGAGTGGAAGGCAAGGCAAATCAAATTCTGCAAGTTCTAAGTCCTAACGTTAGCACTGAGAAATGGCAAAGCTGGTGGTGCAGTGGGAAGGGATGGCGGGGGTGGGGGGACTTAGCGAGAGCCAGGACACATGGAAGAGCGCTTTGGTGATACAACTCGAGGACTTCCTAGGGCGGGAGGAGCAAGTGTGCACAGTAAACTCCATCACAACGTACAACGTATCTGGAATGACCAAGAAGCAGGGGCTGCTGGAAACTAGCACCTGGGAAGAGACAGTCTTCCTAAGCAAGAGATCAAAGCTTAGTCTGAAATAAATCCTACAGGAAGAAGAAAAACCCCCACTTCTTGGATATTTTACTATGTCCATAAAGAAAAACAATGAGCCACCTTCTTAACAGGAGAATTAAACCCAATTACTTAGAAACCACATTAGGAAACTAACAATAAGTCAACAGCTTCCTTTTGGAGCTCATTAGAGCCTAGAAATTCTGGCCACGGTAGCTTGTGAAAGGCAGGCTCCTCTTTAAACGTGGTTGGGGTTCAGCAGTGATTCGCAGGTCCTTGTCAAGGCACTGTGCTGGAGGAGAGCAAAGAGCTTTCTTTTTGTGCTATTTTTTTTTTTTTTGAGGTGAAAATACTTCTTGTGACATTCAAGGCTCTTTTCTGATTCTTGCTGCTCATACAAGCAGTCCCATGCGAGTGACTTTGGCCGACAAGAACGTGTGCAGCACAAATACAATCGGCTTCGGACAAGAGTGCAGGTCCATGGTCTGTGGAGAAAGCACATTATCACTACCATACACAGACACGCCAATAAGCACGCAAAAGAAACAAATTTAGATGTGATGTTCTACTTTTTCAAAAGAACTTAGATAAAGAATGTGCCAGAGCTACAGAAACTCTTGGGAACTGAAAGCCACAAATGAAAGCGTACTCTGAAGTTAGGAGTTTCCATGTTATAATTAAACGTTAGTCTGAGGTTTCCCATCCACAATTACACTTGGTGGTATACTGGCTTCCACCATGCCTGATGGAACTAAAAAGTAGAGGATCTAAAAGAATGGAATATCCTATATGAAAACCATTAAGTGTAACTATATGCATTTCTGAGTGGGAACCACAGTAAGCTCAGCTGAACTGTCACCACCTATGGTATGATTTTTGATGTTGTTGTTAATCCTCACCTGAGGATATTTTTCCATTGATTTTTAGAGAGAGTGGAAGAGAGAGGTAGAGACAGAGAAAAACATTGATGTGAGAGAGACACATTGATTGGTTGCCTCCCACGACCGGGCTGGAGACCGCAACTGACCAGAATGCCCTTGACTGGAATTGAACCTGAGACCCTTCAGTCCTCGGACCGACACTCAACCACTGAGCCAAATGGGCTAGGGCTATGGCATGATTTTGACACCTCATATAAGTTTGTGGTGGAAATGACAACTCTTGAGGCTAGTAAGGAGGGTTATTATACCTTCCTAAGCACAGGCCTCTAATTTGGACACCTGGCACCAGATGCATAGGAGACCTGGGGTCTGGCTGCATGAGTCAAGAGCCGTCAATCACTGTGGCACTGATAACAGATACCAGGAATAGGACACGGCTTAATTATGTCTTGTAAAGAAAACTAGGACTTGAAGAGCATAGTTATAGAGCATTAAATTCCTCACTAAACTTTGCATACATTAAATGTAAAGCAGGGCTTAAAAATATATAAATAGCTGGGGATAATCTAATACCTTGCTTGCTATATGGCTACTGATATTAATAACTGGTTACTTTAATAGAAGTTAATTTAATAGAAGCTTTTAACTGTCTCTAATGCTTCAGGTTTTTGAAAAGCCCTGGTTCATGGCCTACCTATAGTCTCCCAAAGCTTCATCATTTAAAGTAAGATTTCTAGCCAGTGTGCTCAAAATAGATCTATTTCAGTTCTAAAGCGTCAAGATTCTGCTTTCCAACTTAGACCTGTTGTGACTGTGTCAATGGACATAAGATTTCACATGTAAGACATGAACTACTGGCTCAATATTGATAAGAGAGAAAAGGCATTGTTTTACTCCTTTATCACAATTTATGATTTCTGAAATACACTTCTCTAGTTCTCTAAAGGGGATCATGAGTTCCTGTTGAAATTTCCTTTAAGGGACAAGGAGGTAAAAAAGAAAATGATGGCTGTATGGACATATCTCTGCATCTTTTTCTCTGATCAGCAGAATTTCTGTAGCAACCAAGACACCCTTTTACTTTTAATTCTTATACCAAGAAACTGCTAAATAGCAATGACTAGAATTTATTTAGTATTTAAAATGTTTAATATTTAATATCTTATTGTTTATAAAAACCTATTTCTTAAAAGGGCTATTTTTTCTTTCTAAGATTAAAAAAAATACTTCTAAAAAAGGGAATAATTTCCAAATGTGGGAAAGGAAAAAAAAGAACCCAAACCCACTGCATCTTGAAAACTGAAGAACAGTTTCCTGGAAAAAAGTGGATTATCAGTTCATAATATGTCTACGCAAGAGGGTAAGAAACAATAAATAAGAAAGAGAATAGCTATTAGAATAAACATGTTTTTCAGAAACGCTCTCACCAGTTCTCCCTCAGGACCACCAAAATCCAGATACAGATTTCTGATGCCGTCATCAGCAGACATTTTCAGCCTTTCGAAGGGGTAGCGGTACAGCAAGCTGCTGGGGGCTCCATTTTCCCTGGAGATCGTGAACCCATTTTCGTAGTGGACAGTGAGTCTCACGTCTTGGCCATTTAATGTGCAGCCTGTTGAAGATAAGCAAACGCTCTGTTAAAGTTCCTGCTTCAGTTGTCAGGTGGAAAAGGATTCTTCTGACTTCAAAAAAAGGAAACAAAATCTTAAGAATGTGTGATACCTAACCTATTTGGAACCTCCTACAGTGAGTTTTGTTCTGGTCACTCAAGTCAACATCTTGATTGAGATAAGGAAATTACCATAACTCTCCCTGAAATCTGATCTGACTCAGTTCAATTCAGTGACAACTGAACCCGTGCTGGCAAGAGCCTGTGCGTGGTACTGGAGAAGGAAAAGGCACAGTCCCTGCTCTCAAGGACCTCACAGATGAACAGGCATAAACATGAAACCCCTGTGCAAAGTAGGATGTACAGAACATGACTACACACTGAACCGAATAAGGCCAAAGTCAAGGAAAGGTTTCCTGTAGGAGATGGGACTTCAGATAGGCCCTAAAGAATAGACCAAATGGACAGGCAGTGACGGATAGGGAGAGGTTAGAGTGTCGGCCCTCGGACTGAAGGGCTGTGGTTCAATTCTGGTTGAGTGCACGTACCTTGGTTGCAGGCTCAATCCCCGGCCCTGGGCAGGGTGCATGGGGGAAGCAACCAATGTGTCTCTCTCTCTCTCTGTCTCTCTCCATCCCTTCTACTTTCTCTAAAAATCAATGGAAAAAACATCCTTGGGTGAGGATTAATATATAACAACAAAATAATAACTCTTTGTAGAAGTAATCCAGTGCCATAATCTCTAAATGAATGGCTGAGGGGTTTGGAGAAAGAACAGACAGATCCCAATCAAGACACCAATCAAGGCAACCAGCGTAGAGTTTTCAAGATAATTTTATTCTATTAACATCCCTGAAGCTACAGTATAGTCAAGGGTGTTGAGGTCTGACGAGAAGAGAGGGGTCACTTCTAGTTTAGAAAAGCTCTAAGAACAAGGATCTGCCCAGGTCCTTGCAGCACTGGCTGAAGAAGGTGCGGTGCAGGTGGGTGAGTATTTCTGCCTGCAGGTGTCCCCAGTGGGGCAAGATCCGCAATCTCAGCGAGCAAAGGCAAGCCATTTGCAACATGTCCCTCTAAACCGGATCCCTCCATTAATTTTTCAAAATGTTCAAGTCTCTCATTAAAAGAAATACCTCTACTCAGCTCCTTACCTCCACTTTCTACCAGTCCCCTCTCTCCTCTTCACAGCAAAACTTCTTGAAAGAGCCGGTCTACACTCAGTTTATCCACATTTCACCTCCCAACCCATCCTCAGCCATCACACCACAATGGAAAAAATATACTCGGGTGAGGATTAATAAATAACAACAAAATAATAACTCTTTGTAGAAGTAATCCAGTGCCAGAATCTCTAAATGAATGGCTGAGGGGTTTGGAGAAAAAACAGACAGATCCCAATCAAGGCAACCAGCGTAGAGTTTTCAAGATAATTTTATTCTATTAACATCCCTGAAGCTACAGTATAGTCAAGGGTGTTGAGGTCTGACGAGAAGAGAGGGGTCACTTCTAGTTTAGAAAAGCTCTAAGAACAAGGATCTGCCCAGGTCCTTGCAGCACTGGCTGAAGAAGGTGCGGTGCAGGTGGGTGAGTATTTCTGCCTGCAGGTGTCCCCAGTGGGGCAAGATCCGCAATCTCAGCGAGCAAAGGCAAGCCATTTGCAACATGTCCCTCTAAACCGGATCCCTCCATTAATTTTTCAAAATGTTCAAGTCTCTCATTAAAAGAAATACCTCTACTCAGCTCCTTACCTCCACTTTCTACCAGTCCCCTCTCTCCTCTTCACAGCAAAACTTCTTGAAAGAGCCGGTCTACACTCAGTTTATCCACATTTCACCTCCCAACCCATCCTCAGCCATCACACCACCAAGTGTCTCTCCCCAAGGGAACCAATTATCTTCATGTTGCTAAATCCGACCTGCTTCTCCAGCCCTGTCTTACTTGATACTGGTAGTGCTCATTGTTGGCTGTCTACCCAGCTTCTATTTCTCCATTCTTCCTTTACAGCCAAACCCCAATTTTATTCAGGTTTCTATTTTCTCCTAAAGTGTTTCAGGGAAGGGTGACCTCAACTTCAAGGGCAGACAGCCTCTGGGCCAGGCAGCCTGGCTTTCCCCTGGTGATTGGCGTTGGTCGAGGGTGTGCATATGAACCAAACTGGCTCAGATAGAAAAGAACTATGATTGGGAAGAGAAAACACAACACCACCTCCTTTTACTCTTGTTCCTCTCTTTTATGTAAGAGAATGTGTTTCTTTAATGTTTAATCTAGTTTTAGAGGATATTTTCTATTAATTGCATCCGAAATCATCCCAACTGACACATTTAACCCTACTGGCCATTCCTCTCCTCGAATGCTCTTCCTTTGATACTGCCTGTCCCCACCCACCCTGGTTTCCATCTACAGCCCTGGCTACCACTTCATAATCTGCTAAGTGGAAGGGACACTGCCTTCTTCAAACCACAAGGATATTGTTGAGTGTAATAACATACATTAAAGATAACTTTCTAAGCAGCTCCCTTAATACTAAAAAAAAAAAAAAAAAAAAAAAAAATTCAGCTAAGAGAAAGAAAAGCTCATTAATTAGTAATAAATCTATTAGTGTTGCACCAAGATAAATACTGGTAAATATAACTTGTGTTTTCTACCTTGTGTCTTTCTTTTTTAAAAAAAATATATTTTTATTGATTTCAGAGAGGGAGGGGGAGAGAGAAAGAGATAGAAACATCAATGATGAGAAAGAATCATTGATCGGCTGCCTCCTGCACGCCCCCCAATGGGGACTGAGCCCGAAACCTGGGCAGGTGCCCTTGACCAGAATCTAACCCGGGACCCTTCAGTCCACAGGCCAACGCTCTATCCAGTGAGCCAAACCAGCTAGGGCTACCATGTGTCTTTCTAAATGGTTACCAGTGTATCACGAAGGACAAAGACCCTGATGTCAAACAAATTCTACCCTGCAAATCCTGTCTCTGCTGCTCTGGGGCCAATTACACGGAGGAGGACTCTGGGGGCACCAATGTTTCCAGCAAGACCCTTTCCCAGCTGCAGGACTGTGTGAGCTCCTCTGGGTGTTCAGAACAACCCAGAAGGAAGTGGGCTTTGTAGGTTCAACCTGGTTGGGCTGCTCAGGACTCTCTCAGAGAAGGACTGAGGCAACATTCTCCATTACTATGCATAGGGAAAGCCAGTCCATCAAGTATAAGTAACAGGCTAATCATTCTCAGGGTTACAAAGAAGAACATGACACTATGTTCCTCACTTATAGCTATTTGGTCAAAGGCATGAGGTAAGTTTTATTTATTTTTATTTCCCTCATTACCAAGCAGAGCTTTGTAACTAATAACATACTCAGTAAATATTTGTTGATTTAATGAATTAAGAGAAACTGATGACGTATATGCCCTCTAGGAGTTTGATTTAGCCATAAGAATGAGTCATTAAGTGCAGAGGCTTGAGGCACTGGTTTTGAAGTCAGAAAGTCCCCAATTCAAGTTGCAGCCACACTAACGCCAGTTCCTTCATCTTGAAAATGGAGGTGATAAAATTTGCCTCAGAGGGTTGTGTGTTAGGGTTTTCTAACACGTATCTCATTTATGACTTACTAGGTGTACCGGTTAATAATGCGGATTTTTTTCAATAGATGGAGTTATACATATGTTGATATATATGCGAGTTGATATGTATGCTATTTTGTTGTATTGCTCCTTCAGATTACCACTTGTTCCGATGGATGGCACACGTACTTTCTGAGCAACACTTCAAAACATACGAAGAAGTGGAAAATTGGGTCTCTGAATGGTCTGCCTCAAAACAAGAAAAGTTCTATTGGGACGGTATCCACAAATTACCTGAAAGATGGGGGAAATGTGTAGCTAGCGATGGACATTACTTTGAATAAAGCACTTTTGATGTTTCTCTTGCAATTATCATGTTTTCTTTGTTTACAAAATCCGCATTGTTACAGTTAATAATGTGGATTAATTATTAACCGGTTAATAGTGCGAATTAACTCTTAACCAGTTAATAATGTGGATTAACTATTAACCGGTTAATAATGCGGATTAATTAACCAGTTAATAGTGCGGATTACCTCTTAACAGATTAATAATGAGGAGAGAGAATCATTGATTGGCTGTCTCCTGCATGTCCTCCACTGGGGCTCAAGCCCACAACCCAGGCATGTGCCCTGACCAGGAACTGAACAGTGACCTCCTGGTTCATAGGTTGACTCTCAACCACTGAGCCATGCCGGCCAGGCAACAATATACTTTTAAATGCCGACGTTCTTTCTCCTCTTAGGATTTTCTGCATATTTATTAATGCAATTCCTACCTATGTCTATGACTTCTTAGCCCATTTTACTAAAGCTACAGAAATATAAAGTATCTTCATAAACTTCTTGCACGATTTAAAAACTTCAATAGCTTGGGTAATTGATATAATAAAATTAAGCCTTTAAAAGCATACTTCTTAAACTACAAACAGCTACACTCATATGTATTTTCATATTTTCAAACCCTGTGAGACTAATGGAAATGGTTTTATGGATCTGAGGGAGTTAATTGTATTCTCTGCTTAGTCATCTTGAAGTTCATCTTTGCTAGAAGAAAAAAGTCCTTGCATATCAGAAGGATCACAGATCAATTCTACTGTAACTATAATCTAATAAAGATTTAAAACTAAATGAACAGCCTGGTTGGTGTGGCTCAGGGTTGAGCATTGATCAATGATTCTCTCTCATCATTGTTGTTTCTATTTCTCTCCCCCTCTTCCTTCCTCTCTGAAATCAATAAAAATAAAACACATGAAATGAACATTATAAAGATCATGTATTACATTCATTAGTCAACTCTTGTAGGTAGTCACTAGAATTTTTCTAAATGGATAATTGATAACCAAAATACATAAGAGACAAGAAAACAGAGCTTAAATATTGATTTTTTTGGTCAACTATCTTTCTTTCTTTAGGCCAAAAATATGTGAATATGTGGTATAATGTGCCACAAT